ATAGTAACTTTTAATTTTTAAGAATATTAATGGTTTTGTCTTTGTGTTAATTATATTAATCTGTGAGTATATTGGGCTATAATTCAAAATTTGGGACCCATATTAGATCATTGTAGCTAACAAATCTAAACATCATTTTATTAGCTGTAAACATTTGATGGCCCTGATACAGAATTTTCTGGTTCATGCTTTTCAAGAGAGGATTTCATTAAGCCTCCTCCTTACATATTCTGATGAAATCAGTTAAAAATTATTTTCCAAAAGGATTGTGATTATTTAAAATTAAACACTTACACTAGAAAGCTACAACTTAATAGTTAGAACTATTTAGGGGGTGCTAGGGCTTATTCTCTTTGGTAGAAATGATTTGTGTTATTGTCTTGTTTAAACGGAGCTAAGTATCCCTGCCTCAGAAGTCACTCAGGAAGTGGGCATCATAGCCAGATTCTCGAGCTTCTGTGGTTCTAGTCTGTGATCCACGTGTACTTACAAATTAAGCACCCTTCATGGCTAGAGGCAGTGTAAGGGGTAGAAACGCATCCATGCATTCTTGTACAGAACTTCTGTGGGTCACAGTCAGAACATTACAGAATTCTCAGACCTTGTTTCCTTTGATTCTAGCTGGCTTTCTTTCAGTAAATGTACACATTTGTATTACCAGTTTATGTTCCCAGCCTTTAACTGTATTCATAGGACAGAAAGGATGTGACTTCAATAACTATAACTCCCGGCATCCTCATCTGTTCAGGCTTTCATCAGGAAATTTGACATGTGTGTCATTCTTATTGCCTGTTTCTGTTTTCTGTGTCTGTTCAGCAGCAGTATAGCTTCCTCATTAATTCGATAATGACATATTGCTGAGAAAGGCTATAAAGTGTACTGCTCAGGTGCACTGGGGATCAGAACTTAGAGGCTCTGTAGCTTATTCTTTTTCTTACCTGATCTTTAAGGTTCAACTGTCCAGCTGAGGTATACAGGCACAGGAGGCAGCAAAGTGAGGGAACCCTCAGCTCCAGGCTCTTGTTAGGTTCCATTTCTGCTAATAACAGTGGCAGAAGTGACACATGTCTTACTGCTACCGAGGTGCCCTCAGTGTTTTCACGTAGATCAGTTCCCATTATTTTGGTCAGGAAAATGTTGCTGCACTTTGGCGAAAGAGAAAAATGATTGTTTATGAGAAGAAATCATTTTTAGAAAAAGCTTGAAGTGTAAGTGTAGTATTAGGTAATTCATGAGGAAGTTTTATATTTTTGTGTACAGGTTTGTAATTTTAAAGTGAATGGTAAATTTTTTATGTCCTTGTAGTTTTAGATGTATTGTGTACCAGCTAATGTCTTTCAAATACTTGCTTCTGTCAGGGTGCAGCCTTTGTAGAATTTGATGTACACCTTTCAAAGGACTTTGTGCCTGTGGTATATCATGATCTCACTTGTTGTCTGAGTATGAAAAAGGTACGTTGAAATTCCTTCATTTTAAATTCCAATTGTTAAGTACAAGGTTTAAAAACTAGACAATTTGTTATATTACTAACAAAGGGACATTCCAGATGGTTCCTGTATCAGTCTGCCACTGTCACTATATTGAGGCAGGAGAGGAGAGGATGTCATAGTGTTTGTTTTCTAGGCTCCCATCTATTTCTATTTCAACCTTTTGCTCAAATTAATAGGCTAGTGCAATTTGGCTAAAGCAGGAAGAGCCACTTTAAAAAACTGGAAAGGTGGTTTGGAGTCAGATAGTGGGGG